CGGAAGTTTCCGAAACGACAAGACTTACCCAGGGTGCTACAGCCGAATTCATCGCTGCCGTCGGTGCAGTCCCTCGCGCCGTTGCATCGGAGTGACACCGACACGCATTCTCCTGTGTCGCAGACGAAGTCATTTCCACAGCTTCCTTGTGGCGCTACCAATGTAATATCGTCAAGGTCATAAAGAAGACAAGCCGAGGACTCGTCATTCGATTTACTAGTCTCAAAATTTTTACAGTTAAAAAAAAAGTTTTTCTAAATAAAAAAAATGAGTAAAGTTAAAATGAAAATATTCCGTTTTTATTTCTTTAAAAATTTTCTTTCAGTTCATTTCTAGCTATTGACGATTTGATTGACTCACGTTGAATGTCTCTGAGGTTGAGACCAGAGCTTTCCTCCTTCACGTTGTACCTACCGACGACGCCGGCATTGACGATACTTCTTACTGATCGGCTCAGGGTCTCCTTATCCGCCCCCGTCAGAATATCAATCGTCGCTCGACAATAATTCTTGCGCGACACCTCCACCACATTCCTACGGCAACACACCTCCATGTACCAAAAGAAAAAAAGAAAAGAAAACAGCGAAAACAGAAGGATGTGCGCACTCGATCCTGCGAAGAGTGCAGGTGGCTTTCCCCGGAAGGGAGAAGAAGAGATCTCGAAGAGCCGACTCCATTTCGTCGGCCAAGCGACGAAATTCCGAGCTTTCTTGGTTCGACAGTGAAATGGTGAATTGTTGATTGACTAGCAGCTCAAACCGATATGATTTCAGTTCTGTAGTGAACAGCCACCCAAGGTCCGAAAAAACCAAAATGGTACGTTAGTCAGAAGGTGTCATGGGGAGTACAAAGACTCCTGACTATTCGTTCCACGACTTTACTCGTGGACAGTGGCGGCTCGTAATATTTAGCGCTAGTGGTTCGTCTATGGAGAGGGGGTAGGCAGCGCCCTCCCCTGCCTACCCCCTCTCCAAAGACGAACCACTAGCGCTAAATATCACGAGCCGCCACTGCTCGTGGAGCAAGTATTTCTGGGTCTGCCTGGAGATGGCAACACTGAAGTAAAAGCTAGGGATTAACAAGTTTAACCTCGTGGTTGAAAGCCTGACACCTCGGAAGCAGACGGAAACGGGACATGAATATTCATCGTGCCAAACTGCCACTACAACAAAGGGAGTAAAAGATGGATTCCCAGATTTCATCATCCGTTCGATAACCTTCACCTACCCCCTACCCCCACGTCCCCTCCCC